CCCATCTTTATCTCTGCCTCATGGTGCATGGTGTTGTTGGCTATGGGACAGATATGCATTGACAGCCCAATATACATATAATATACAGACTTCAACCTGGTAGAGTAGGGTCCACCACTTTGGGACAGAGTGAGTGTCTTAGTACATTCAGGCTGCTATATAAAATACCACAAAATGGGCAGTCTATAAACAACAGAAATGTATTTCTCACAGTTTCAGAGGCTGGGAAGTCCAAGATCAAAGTGCCAGTAGATTTAGTTCTGGTGACGGCCCATCTTCTGGTTCATAGATGGTGCTTTCTGTGTGTGTTCTCACATGGTGGAAGTGCCTAGCTAGCTCCCGAGGGTCTCTTTTATTAGAGCACTAATCCCATTCATGAGGACACAGCCCTCGTAACCTAACCACCTCCAAAAGCCCCACCTTCTAATACCATCACCTTGGGGGGTTAGGATCTCAACATATGAATTTTGGGGGGAGACAAACATTCAGACCACAACAGTGAGTTTCTGGTAATCTGTAGTTGTTCCTTTTTTTGATTGTTATATTTGGGAGTTATAGAAGTCATATTGTTCTCAAAAGAGAGCTTTTAAGTCCTTAAAGGTAGCTTTAAGGGTCATTGGCTCTTGCTGATACCTTAAAGTTAAACATTCCTGAGAATTTTGTATGCCCTGTCATGCAATATTTTATGAAAGATGGCCTCCGCTACATTAGGTGTGCTTGTCTCTAGGACATACGAGAATTGTCATGTGAATGAACACTGTGGATAAGCAGTACCCAGTATAGCCCATAACATTTTTGATACTTAAGGTAAGGGACACACATTTCTATAGCTTGGCCTTATGGTGCTGATGTAAATGGCACTATGTCTAAAATTGGGACATCACGCAAGACAACTTGGAGTCTGTAAATCCGTTTGGCCCTGCAAGGTATTAAAAAAAGACTTACTCTATTTGACCAAGAAAATTACTCATAAAAGTAGGCTCACAATTTTAAATGTAGAAACAAGTATGCAATCGAAATAAACGTGAGGCAAATCACCATCTACCTGGAGTGTATTACTTTTCCATGGTGAATATTGTTGAATTTCTTGGTGTATATAGTTTCCTGAGGCTCATTCTCAGGTACATATGCAAAAAAGATTATTTCAGTTAAGGTGATATACTGTGGAGCAAGTGCAGTCTCAAAGCCCATATCAGGAGCCTGGAATTGGAAAAAAAGAAAATATTGTATTTAAACCATTTTATACTTCAATTATGACAAAATTCAAGTAACATTTATTTCCGATTCACATCAAAACAGCACTGTTTTATTTATCAGTTGGAGTACTATTTCCACGTGTTCTGTTTGAATATCCATGTGTGTGCAAGGGAAAATGCATTTTTCTGTTGAGGGGGTGAAGAAATTCTGATAATGAATATTCAGGTTAAGATTCCTGGGCACTCTGTAGATGGCTGGAGTGGAAGGTATACATAAAGTCAACTTGCATTGTGTGTCTGTGAGGAGTCTGGAGGTGCAGATTTTAGAACTGGGTTCTTTGTGTTTTGTTTATTTGTTTGTTTGTTTTCATTTTTGGTTTTTTGGCAGCTGGCCAGTACAGGGATCAAACCCTGGACCTTGCTGTTAGCACCATGCTCTAACCAACTGAGTTGACCATCCGGCCCAGAACTGGGTTCTTATTTGGAATTTTATTTAGGAAGGGGCCTGTGAAATACCCGTTGGTCTTCTATTCAACACAAACTTCTCCACTACTGATCCTGTCCAGCCTTGGGAACTTTTAGGGATGAGAAGAGAGGTGAGGACTAGCCCCAAAGGAGAGTTGACTTTGTTGACATGAGTCAAGGAGCGGGTGGGAGATGGTGTAGACTGGTTGGGGGCGTACCCATTAAATAGTGCCTCCAATGCCCATTTTCTGTCATGCCTTTTTTCCTAGTCTCAATTTTAGGAACCCACTGAGAAGAGGAGAGAGTAGGAAATAGCTACAAGGAAAATAAACACAGGACTGAACAAATGGTTTAAGCACTCTTGAAAATTATTGAAAAGGTTGAAAATTACTTAGAATTCTGCATGACCCTCTTGCCTGGAGCCACAAGAGTATCCCATGAAAAGTGTATGCGAGTCCAGTGAGAGGCAGCAGAGCGGCTAAAAGCACAGGCCCTGGCGCCAGTTGCCTGGGATAGATGCCAGATTCCAACAACCAACCAGTTGTGTAATTTGGGGTAGATTACTCAGCCTCTCTGTGCCTCACTTTCCTCATAAGTAAAGTGGGGATAAATGGTTGTTATAAGGATTACGAGCTCAAAAGGGTGCCTGGCACACAGTAAGACCTAGTGACGTTTTCATCTGGAGAGGATGCAGACATGGCTTGTTTGTAGAGAGAGAGGTGATATTGCTGAGCGTGAGTTCCTCAAACTCGTCCTGAGTAGAAAATCCTGGTATGTTCTTTATTTTAATAATTTAAACTTTCGGGCCAGCCCGGTGGCACACTGCTATAGTGCGCCGCTTGGGAAGCGCGGCGGCACTCCCGCCGAGGGTTCGGATCCCACGTACAGACCGGTTCCCGCTCACTGGCTGAGCGAGGTGCGGGAGCAACACCGAGGGTTGCGATCCCGTTGCCGGTCCCGGTCCAGTACGGGCGCGACACTGAGGGTTGCGATCTGTTGCCGGACACGAAAAAAGGGGAAAAAAAAAATAATAATAATAATTTAAACTTTCACATAAGAAAACTAAGACACTTCCTACAAAGGGAAAAAAAAATAATAATAATAATTTAAACTTTCACATAAGAAAACTAAGACACTTCCTACAAAGTGTGAAGCTAGTGAGAAATCGAGGTAACTGATTTTTGTTAAGTTCTATCTGCCATCACGTCATTCACTTGGTACATGTGCAGAACCCACACCCCAGACTGAGGCGGACACAGAGGGAGTCATGTGGTGGCATCTTACTGTCAACGTGGAAGTTCTCACCCTCATTCTCTGCCCACATCTCAGACAGGGGAAGCTAAAACACCATCCTCTCAACCACAGACTTGGCTCAGTAATTGGAATGATCTTTCAAAACTAGATTAATCTTTGGTTCTATTTCCCTTAAGTCAGATGGCAGGTTTTATTCAGTCCCAGTCAAAAATGCTTGATTCTTTGGTGATATATTGATGGGTGTTCATTTGACTGTATGCCCAGTGGTGAATGCTTAGGCATGTATACCTTCACAAGTGACATATTACACATGAAAATTATTTTTAAGATTGGTAGCTAGTGTCATCTGTGAAGAAGACAATAACTCCTTTCGGTGTTGGCATTAGAAAAAGAAGAAACTAGGGGGCAGGGTTAATATCAAAGAAAGGTAAACCGGAACTCATGTTTTTTCAAGGCCCACCTTGGGAGGTAGAGAATCAGTCCTACCTGGGCCTGGGCTGGGGGTACTATCTTAGAATATCTGGTGGTGTTCTGCTGTGAAGATACAAGGGTACTTCAAAAAGTTTGTGGAAAAATAGAATTAAAAGATAATATGCATATTCCCATGAACTTTTTGAAGCATCCTCATATTTGCATGAAGAGATGCTGGGTGGAGTTGGAGCTATTATATAACCCTGTATGGGACTTGGAAGATGATTTTGGAGATGTTCCCTGATAGGTGGAGGTTTTTCCCCTAGCTAAAAAGAGCAAAGTGCATTAATAAGAATTTGTCCTAGGGAAAATACTTTCCCATTTCCCCACTATTCTGTGTATCAAATGTGGCATCTATTCTTAAAACAAAGCAATCTGTTTAACATATTATATCACTGACCTGTCCAAAAATACTTTTAGAATTTCTAGAGGTTGCAAGTGACCTGTCAGCTTCAAAGCGACCTGGAGTTATTTTATGTATGAATCCCAAATGATCATAGTATAATGTGAAAATTTTATCAGCGACATTTCCAATTTCACTATATCTTTCTAATCCTATAAGGAAATAAACAGAAGTCTTTTGATATTGATATAATACAACTAGAAAACTTTTAATACTGTACCTTGTAAAAACTTCTTCATTTAAACTAAGGGGTAGGAGTTGGGCTCTGAGACTCCTGAATTAGTAAAATATAGGTTAGTCTTTGTTAAGTCCCAGGAAAGTCTTTTCCAGGCCCCACGTCACTACAGAACCTGTTCACTGAAGTAGCTTAAGGACAGAAGAGAGGGAGGGATGTTTAATGAAGAGATCTAGAGGAAGAGTTTTGTTCCCCCTGGTAGTGGTTTCTCTTCCTGATACCAGCAAATCAGATTCCTGATCAGGTAGAAGGCAGGGGAAAAAACCCCTTAGGATGGCAAGAGGGATTATCAGGAGAGACCAGTGGGTCATTAGTACAACTAGGATTAATATATTGAACCAAATTGGGTGTCTTGTGTTTCTCTCATGCTTTAGGGTACCACATTGAGAAGTACTTCAGTAATCTGGTAGGACAGCAGCTTTCACTTAGCCAGACACTGATCCAGAGAGCATCCCCTCCCCTGCCTGGAGCTAGAGTGAAAGTTCGTGTCCTGGGATGAGAAAGACCGACTTTTGCAAACCACCCTTCCCATCCTCTAACCCCCTCCCCACCCAGCCCCACCCAGTCAGCCCAGTCTCTCCTGGTTCATTCTCCTGTCTCTGACCCCTAAACGCTGGAGTCCCCTAGGACTCAGTTCTTAAATTCCTTCTGTCAGTATCTTTGGAGATCTCATTCAGTTTTAGGATTTTAAAGCCATCTTTATGTGGATGATTCCCAAATGTAAATTGCCCATCTAGGTCTCTTCCCTGAAGTCCAGACTCACGTGTCTGACTGCCTACCAACAGCTCCAGGTCCACGTGGGTCAGGCATCTCCAGCTGCACTCATCTCCGACTGAACTCCTAACCCTCCCGCAAACCTCTTCCATCCTCAGCCTTTCTCACCTTCATTAATAGCAACTGCATTATTCTTCTTGCTCAATACAAAAATCTTGGTGTCATTCTTAACTCCTCTCTTTCTCTCACACCCTGTATCTAATCCATCAGCAAATCCTATTGACTCTAGCCCCAAAATGCATGTAGAATCCAACTGCTTCTCACTGTTGTCACAACTATCACCCCGTACACATCCACTGTCATCTCTCTTGTGCCTCCTAATTGGTCTCCATGATTCATAGCTCCCTTTAGTCTATTCTCAAAAGAGCAACCAAATAACACTTTTAAAATGTTGTCACTTCCTCTCTTCCCCTAATCAAAACTCTCAATGGCTTCCACCTCTCTGAGTACGACCAGTCTTTACAATGCCTTCCAAGGGCTACCATGGTCTGGATTCTGGTTCTCTCTCTGGCCTTATCTCCTGTGACTTTCTTTGCTGACTACTCTGCTCCAGTCACTCTGACGTCAGGTTGTCTATGTTCACAATCACATCATCTGTCACAGCGACAGCTTTGTTTTTTCCTCTTCAATACTTTTTATATATGTATTATGTATTAGTCTGTTTCTGTTGTTTATAACAGAATACCTCAAACTGGGTGATTTATAAAGGAATGAAATTTATTGCTTACAGTTTTGGAGGCTGGGAAGTCCAAAGTCCAGGGAACACTTCTGGTGAAGGTCTTTTTTGGTGGGAACTCTACAGAGCCCCTTGGTGAACAGAGTATCACATGGCAAGAATGGCCTGAGCAAGAGAGAGCCAAGCTTCTCACTTGCTACCCTTATCAAACCATCATAGCCATGTCCATGACCACCCACATAACCATCAATGGGCTAATTCATTCATGAGGGCACAGTTCTCATAATCCAATCACCTTATAAAGGCTCCACCTTTGAAATACCATAATTGGGTTTCCCATCCTCTTAACACTGTTACAACGGGGGTCAAATGTCCAACACATGAACTTTTGAGGGCCACATTTGACCCACATCATTCCACCCCTGGCCCCCAAAGTTCATGTCCTTCTCACATGTAAATACATTCATTCCATTTCCAAAGTCTTAACTTGTTTCAGCTCAAAAGTCCAGTCTCATCTGTGAAATCAAACAAGTTATCTACTGCCAAGATTCAATGGTGGGACAAGGATAGAGTACACATTCCCATTCAAAAAGGGAGAAATAGGTCAAAAGGAAGGGGTAACAGGTCCTAAGAAAGTCTGCAACCCAGCAGGGCAGGTATTAAATCTTAAAGCTGGAGAATAATCTCCTTTGACTCCATGTTCGGCATCCTCTGCACATGGTGCAGGGGTTGGGCCTCCAAGACTTCAGGCAGCCCCACCTCTATGGCTTTCCTGGGTTCAGCCCACGTTTCAGCTCCCCCAGGCTTGTGTTCCACTCTGGTAGCTCTATAATTCTGGTGTCTCCATGGTGGTCCCACTCCCACAGCTCCACTAGGGGTGGCCCTGGTGGGGGTTCTCTGCTGCAACTCCGACCCCACATTTATGCTTGAGATTGCTCTACTGAAGGCTCTCTGTGGTGACTATGCCCCTGCAACAGATCTCTTCTTGGGTCCTAGGCTTTTCCATGCACCCTTTGAAATTGGGGTTCCCATATCTCCACACCTCTGGCATTCAGTGAACCTACAAACATGCGGATACTACCAAGCCTTCTTTTTTTTTTTTTTTGTCTTTTTTCCGTGTCTGGCAACGGATCGCAACCCTCAGTGTCGCCCCCGTACCGGACCGGGACCGGCAACGGGATTGCAACCCTCGGCGTTGCCCCCGCGGTAAGCCAAATAAATCTCCATTTTTTATAAATTACCCAGTCTCAGGCATTCTGTTATAGCAATACAAAATGGACTAATACAGTACCTCATTCTTTCTTAGCCTTCAATGATCTATTTAGTCCATTTCTGTTGCTTATAACAGAATACCTGAAACTGGGTAATTTATGAAGAATTGAAATTTATTTATTACAGTTTTGGAGGCTGGGAAGTCCAAAGTCCAGGGAATGCAGCTGATGAGGGCCCTTTTCTTGGTTGTGGCTCTCTACAGCAATGCAGGGTGTCACATGGCAAGAATGGCCTGAGTAAAAGTAAGAGCTTACCTTCTCACTTGCTTTCCTTATAAAGCCATCATAACCATGCCCATGACCACTCATTAAACCATTAATGCATTAATCCACTCGCAGGGCACAGTCCTCATGAACCAATCACCTCTCAAAGGCCCCACCTTTCAAATACCGTAATTGGATTTCCCACCCTCTTAACATTGTTACAGTGGAAGTTAAGTTTCCAATACGTGGACCAAAATTCATGCATTGGAAACTTGACCTATATCATATTGTTTATTGAACCTACATCATATTGTTCTTGCCTTTCTAGGATAATTTGGCCCCCTAATACAATGATGAATACATGTAGTGATAGCATGTATTCGTCTTGCTCCTGATTACAAAGCAAAAGATTGCAAGGTGTTACTATGAGATCTGAGCAGATATTTGCTATATTTTTTTTTTCCCTCCTGGATATTCTTAACCATGAAGTTACCTTATATTATTGGTTTGCTAAGACTTTTTTTTAAAAATCATGAATGAATATTGAGTTTTATCAAATATTTTTCTGCACCTAATGAGATGATCATAGGATTTATTCCTCCTGTAATCTGTAATATACTGCACTGATTCATTTTCTGATGCTAAGGCATCACGGAATCCTGGTATAAATCCAATTAGGTCATGATATAATTTTTTTATGTTTATTGCTGGATTTAATGAGCTAATAGTTTTGTTAGGATTTTTGTGTCAATGTTCTAAGGGTTGTTAAACTTTTGATTCATGATTTGGTTTTGGTATTGTATTTTTCATTACCAAAAGATTATTTTCATACTTTTCATTTATTAGGTCACCTTTTAGAAAACTTTTTAAAAATATTGTACATTTCGTGGGGTACAGTGCGTTGTTTCAATACATGCATATACTGCACATTGATTCACTTAGGGTATAGAGTGTAGTTTTCTCCTGTTCCCTGCAGATATTCTCAAAATGCCTTTTATTTTGTGAGACACTGTAAATATAATCTTTTTAAAAAACTTCTGTTTAGTAATTCGGACAGTTGCTTTTTAAGGGGGTGGGAGGGAGGGGTTGTTTTTCCTGTCTATTTTTCCTGTGCTATCTCATTTATGGTGCTTTGTATCCTTTTATATTGGTTGCTTTTATACCAATCACTATCTTTGAAAACTTTGGGGGGACATTTTTGAGGCCTAGGATGATGTCTTCCTCTGGTGAGACACTGTATTTTCTTTTTCCAGGTTTCTGGGATACTACCAGAAACAAATCTCCACAGAAGATTTTCTGGACCACCCAGACAATGCAAATCTTGTTGAAGCCTTCCACTGGCCACAATGTCTCAGACAAGTCTTTTCTCTTTTCTTTTTTTCTCTACCCACTTAGCAAGACAACTTTGCTGCATTCCTTGGGGATGTATGTGAGACTGTGTATGAATTTCCTTCTGGTTCAGCCCTATCCTAAGAGTAGAGCTCACTGAGATTCTGGCTTTGGTAGGGCATGCCTCTAACATTCTCACCACCTTGGGTGGACTCTGGGCCCTAATTCTTCATGAGTTCACCAAATTCAAAACCTGAGTCTGCAGGGATTTGTAAATTTCTTCAGGGCAAAAAAACTTAGGTGCTTGTGTGCCCTGTTTATCTCTCTGACTTCCTGTTTTCCCTTAGATTTTGGCCTGGTTGTTTTTACTATCTTTACAGGTTTTCAATTAAAAAAATTTTTTTAATCTAACTATTTTTGTTATTCTCAGCAGCAAGGTTGTATCACAATTAGAAATAGAATCCCTTGGACACTGTGTTCTATGGATAATGTTCATTGTATCACTACTTATCCAATTGCCCTATGTATGATGCTTGACTTTACCTGCTTCCTACTATTTCACATCCAATCACCCACCAACACCTATTGATTCATTCATAATTAACCACTCTTCTTTCCATACCTATAACCACTTTTTCTAAATCAGATCCTCATCATTCTCTTAAACTTTTAAAATATTCTATAAATACATCAGTCTGCCTGAAATCTCACATTTTCCAATATATCCCCCACATTATCTTTCTAAAATACAAATATGATCAGGTTAATAATACTTCGATGACATGATGAAATTCTTTAGCTTGACTCAAACAGAAAACTAGTTTCAGTTGACCTTTATGGTCTTATCATCAATGAGTCACCCCTAGGAAACATATTTTAGCTACGGCATACTATGTGTGCCATAAATTTCAACACTACATCTTAATTCCTTTACATGGAATGTTCCTTTATACTCTCACCTTGACTTTGATGGATTAAAGATTTAACTTTACCAATTTAAAATTTCTTCTACAATAGCACTTCAATTGATTCCTTCTAGTATTGTTCCTTATAGTTCAATTTTGCATATTTATACTCAGATAAAGAAATAATATTTTGGATTACCTTTTAGGGATGGAAAACCTTGGTTTTTTGGTATCAATAATATTTATAATTATTTCCTCAAAAAGACACAGTCAGGGTTTTTTCCTTATTGTTCAGTGAGATTTTCAATGCCGATATACTTACTAGGGCTCAATATGCCATATGTCATCGATAAACATGGTAAGGATACACTGGTTTCACATATTAACACCTTAGAAATTGAGACACATCTTATAATTTATGTGTCTTACAATCTTTGTCCACCAGGTGGCACCCACGCCATAGCGGTCAATGGCCTGCACATGTATGTACTTTGTCTCAGCTGTTCACACTGTCATTACTTTAACTGAGTTTCTTAAATCACTGGTGCAATCCATGTTGAGTTTTATTGCTGCTTAAAATGCCTTCAAAAATATTACATTATAATTTGGCATTGAAACAAAGTTGTTGTGGGTACAGCGAGAGAAAAAAACAAAGCAGCAGTACATATATTTATCAACAAAGCCAAAGTTGTCCTTACAGAACAACACTAAGTATTTTATAAGACATAAGAAAGGAAGAAACCCACAGGTAGATGAAAATTGCATTATGTTTTACTACTGAGATACATGGGAAACCATTGTCTTATCATAGACCAAGCAATGTAACTACAGGCAGGGGGCATATGCCACAGTAATTCATATATCATCTAGGATCACAATTAAAACACTGTGTTAAAGTTTAATTGGAAGGGCTTTTCTTTCTGTTAGTAGAACAAAGTGCATCTTAACAACCAGTGGAATCTTAGATTGGATGAAATATATTGTTTACAATATCCTCCTGTTGACTTTGCATGTGAGGAACGAGTTGAACTGGTTTCCAAATTGTTAGGTAATAATATTTTTCTTTGAAGGGTCTATATAAGAATATGTAGTATTCATTATTGGAACAGAAGAATCCAAGGCTGGCTTGATTTTTTTCCTTTTAAAATTGATTTATATTTTTGATTTCAAATAATTTAGAAGAGTGTTTGTGCTTTTATTATTTGTTTGCTTTGCTTTTAGTTTAAAATATTAATGTCTTACTGATTTCAGTTTGCTTTACTCTTCCTATTTTTTAATATTCATTCATTCATTCATCCATCCCTTCATATAAGAGGGCTAAAATGTGCCAAGAACTGTAGATAAAATAGAGAAACATATACCCACCATCTCTGTTCATCACTGAAAATTCCTATAATTTGCAATTTCTTAATTTAGCATCTACATTTGCTACTTCAGATACTTTCCACTTATTTGTTCATTTGTTCTACATTTGGACATGTTTTCATAGTTTATAATTTATAATAATTTATAATTTATATCACCAGTTTAGTTTTCTTACGTGTTAATTATTTTTACTGCTTCCCAAGAAACCTTGCTTAGTCTATTTTGATTTTTGTTTCACAGCATGTGCTGTTTATTAATTTGTCCATTCCTGCAGATCCATCCTCAGACTTTCTCTTCCCTATTTGGTGCACTGGAAGGTGTGTTAATTATTTTTACTGCTTCCCAAGAAACCTTGCTTAGTCTATTTTGATTTTTGTTTCACAGCATGTGCTGTTTATTATTTGTCCATTCCTGCAGATCCATCCTCAGACTTTCTCTTCCCTATTTGGTGCACTGGAAGGCTGATCCCTATGAATTGCAATCCTCGTGCTCTGTTTCCAGCTGACTTCTGACTGGGTTTGGCAAATGAAAGGCAGGAGCAGGAGATAAGAAAGGGGAAGGAGAGAGAAGTCCAGGTAGTTTTTACGCTCTTTCTCCCTGCCTTGAGTGTACAGTTCTGACAGTGGTTGGGAGCCTCCTAGACAATACTTTTTATAGGGTGCTACCTCTCGTGGGTTTGGCAAATGAAAGGCAGGAGCAGGAGATAAGAAAGGGGAAGGAGAGAGAAGTCCAGGTAGTTTTTACGCTCTTTCTCCCTGCCTTGAGCGTACAGTTCTGACAGTGGTTGGGAGCCTCCTAGACAATACTTTTTATAGGGTGCTACCTCTCCATTCCAGCTTTGACTGGACTCAGGCAATGCTATCTATCTTATCTACCTATCCATCCCTATCATCTTACCCCTTTAAGCAAAGGGAGTGTAATGGCTTTTTTCCATTGCTAGACTCTGAATATTTTAGTATCATTGTTGGTTCCTTTAGCACTGACCACAACTCTACAAATAGTCCCTTATAAAGGCTCTTCAGGTGAAACACGCTGAGTGGAATTAAATTTCCTGCCAGGTCAAAACGGATACAGTATTTTTACCAGAAATATCCCTAGGAAATAGAATATAGAAGTGGGATTCTGGGACTGAGTTGCATACTTAACGAATTCACAGATGTCTGCGTACGCCTGGTAGATATTGTGGTACTGGTAATCCGTAGCAAGTCCATAGAATGGTTAGCAAAATTCAAGTGCATCCAAAAGGAATGGGCAACTATCATTAAGGTCAATCAATATTTACTGTTTCTTTCACTATGCAAATAAACTGAGAGGAGCTATGTAGACTTGATCAATGAAATGATACGATTACCAAAGCGAGGAGATGGAGAGCAGTATGTCATTCACATAACGTTGCCTTTTACAAGTTGTGTGACCCTGGTTGCATCAATTTAATCAGCAAAAGTAAGCTGACATTATCTACTTCAGCCCAGTTGTTGTGAATATTGAATGAGATGATAACATGCTGAGCACAATTGTGGCTTGATAAGTGGTGGCTTTTATTATATGGCTTTTGGGAAAGTAAAACATCACTGAAATTGAAAATAAGAACATAAGCATGGTGAGCCAGAGTTCCCCTTATTCAGGGCTGTTCACAGAATCCAACTTCTGTCGATTCTACAAATCCATCACCCCCAATAGGTTGGAGACTTTCGGGTTAGCTGATTAATAAGGCAGATATTTCATAGATCTTCTAATCCCCAGCCCACTGTAGTGCTTACACCCATAAAAGCAAAATCCTTACCTGCCTTTGTCAAGTAAACCTTTCCACTTTCAGAAACAAAAGTAATATCTGAAGTATAAAAACTATGATAAGTATTCTTTATGATATCATCATGAAAGTCAGCGATTAATTCAAAAGTGTTGCCACCATCAACTGAAAGCCATACCTAAGGGGATAAAGAGATAAGACCTCACTAAACAGCTGCCTGTGACAGTCAGCAATTACTTATCAGTGTAGTCTCCCTACATAAGAAAAGTCCTGTGCACGGTCTTTCCTATACTCCCGCATCCATTGCTCACACACCACACACACACACACACGCACACACGTACAGACTCCATACCTACTTGGTGTACCCTCCATTTCCATCCGAGTCTGCATGCGGAGTGTCAGGCATCAACACGCGTGGTGAATGCACACATGTTCCTCGACTCATGAAGGGGTTACATCCCGATAAACCCATCTTAAGTTGAAAGTATCTTCAGTGGAAAGGCATTTAACACCCCCAATAAACCCATAACCAAGTTGAATCATTGTAAGTCAGGGACCGTCTGTGTAAAAGAACAAAGTTACTCCTGTCATCTCCCCAACGGAGTTCCCTTGTTCATAAAACGATGAATGTTTAAATTTCTTTTTAAAAATTGCTGTTAATAACAAGCTATACCTTAAATTCAAAACTTTATAAGTGTGGCTGAAGCATCTTAGACCACGATCCAAATAATTCTTTTATACCTCATCTGACATAATCCTGGTCTCCCCTACCCTTTCCCAGAGGAAATAACCACTATTATTAGGTTGAAAATTCTATGCATTAAATTCTCTCTCTCTATATATATATACACCGATAGAATATGTATAGTATTGACTCATTTTATGGTGGTGAGAAGAAGGGTATGTCTGGGTGCAATCCACCTTCGACTTGGACAAAAGGTATCCTTGACCTGGACTGCATGCTTAGTGGGCCTGAATATTACAAACACACAGAGAAAATTTATTGAATAATGCATGCGTGCTCCTGTCACTCATGATGCAGTGCTCATTGCTGACAGAGCACAGTCCATAATCCTAAACATATAATATGTGGGCCTCCATTTTCACTCTTTCTTTGGCCCCTGCAAATGTTACTGGTGAGCAGCTGAGCAGAGCTGTGGGTAGGTGTGGGGGGTGGGACCGTGCTTTGAACAGTATGCTCGAAATGGTGTCATACTGTGTCTGTTGTTCTGTAAGTGACATCTGCCACTCAACAATATGTCTCAGATCGTTTTATGGTAGATCATGTGGATTTCTACATTCTTATGTAATGCTACGTAGTATCCAATTCATGGATATACCATACTTAAGATATTCTACTTTCCTACTAATGGACATTTAAAAGTTGTACCCGTTTTCACTGTTATAAACAACACTGCAGTGAACATTCATTTACCTGCCTCTTCGTAGAATGTTAAAGTGTTATCTCTAGAGAAAATACTGTAAAATTGAGTTGCTGAGTCAGATGCTATGCATATTTCTGTAGTTTTAATAGAGACTTCAAAATGCTCTTCAATTTCATTGAACCAGTTTATGTTCCCATCAATAAGTGTACAAAAGCATCTATTTCCCCAAACCTCAACAATACTTGATACTATCAAAAATTTATTTTTTAATTTGTACTGATGACCTGAATGAAAAAAAAGACATCTCATTGTGTTTTTCCCTAAATATTAAAAATTAATGATCCGCCCATGGCTCACTTTTATTTTCCTTATATTATTTATTTAATAATGTAATGAACATGTGTGAACTGACAGCCCAACCTAAGAATTAGCATATCGCTAGTAATTTACAACTACCTGTGTGTTTCTCCCCGTTGCTATCCCACTGTTTCCCCTCGCAGATACCTATTATCCTGAATCTTGTGTTTTTCACTCCCTGGTTATTTAAAAAATTTTTAGCATATATGTATGCATGTTTAAATAACATATGACTTAGACTTATTTTTGCTCTTTATAAAAAGGACAATCATATCATATATCTTCTAGAATTTACTCTCTCCCAGCATTTACTTATATTCATACATGTTGCATATAGCTCAGTCCATTTGTTTAGGTGAATAAACTGTAATTTATTTATTCATTCTCCTGTTCCTGAACAACTGGATTATTTTCAGTTATTTAATGCTATTACTAACAGTGCCATGATGAACATATAAAAATGTCTGATCATATATTTGCTTCCCTTGCTGGAAAATGAGATTGGTGGGTCACAGAATATGCAAATGTTCAAATTTACAGGATAACAATAATGCCAAATTGCTTTTCAAAATAGTCGTACTGATTTTCTTTTTCTCACTGCCTCTTTGATCAGATCTTCATTCAAAATAAGCTGTCTGAATGGTTTGACTTTTATGAAGTAAACAAATTTAAGAGTTTATGCAGCAGATTTCTTTTCTTCTGTGGAAGGTTCCTTTTCTGCTGGCTTCTTTTCAGCGGCCAGTTTCTTGGTACAGCCTTTTTTCCCAAAGGCCTCTGCTGGCTTCTTTTCAGCGGCCGGTTTCTTGGTACAGCCTTTTATCCCAAAGGCTTCTTCTGCTTCTTAACACCAATAGCCTTCTTTCCTTTCTCCCCCACCACAGTTCTGCTGGCTTCTTTTCAGCGGCCAGTTTCTTGGTACAGCCTTTTTTCCCAAAGGCTTCTTCTGCTTCTTAACACCAATAGCCTTCTTTCCTTTCTCCCCCACCACAGGCTTCTTGCCTGCAACCCACTTCTCATCTGATTTGGCCTTTAGTGCTGCTGCTGCCTTACCCACCCAGAGTTTGTGATTCCTGGCCTGGCAAAGAATGGTGTTCTGGTGCATGGTCTTTGCATGGGGGTTTAGCTTCAACATGATTCTCAGGTTTTTCAGTGGATTCTTCTTCAGGACCCTGCAATGAATCTTCTTGTGTGGTGCTCAGGAGGCTCTTTGGATCTCTGGGCTTTTCAAAATTCTGTTAAGGTCTGTATTTATCATCTTGTGCATGGGAAGGTTATACTCAGGTTTTTCAGTGGATTCTTCTTCAGGACCCTGCAATGAATCTTCTTGTGTGGTGCTCAGGAGGCTCTTTGGATTTCTGGGCTTTTCAAAATTCTGTTAAGGTCTGTATTTATCATCTTGTGCATGGGAAGGTTATAGTCACCCTTCAGGGAAGTAGATTACATGAAGTAGTGTTCATCTAACTTCCAGAAAGCACTTTCAGTCCAAGGGCAGAAACACCCTACTTGCCCATCAGCAGCAAGTTTCAAAAGGTTCAGTTTGCCTACATTAAGCAGAGTAATTCCAGGGATGTTTCTGAAGGCCTAGATGATACAATCATTCTCATTATAGACAATGCAGGGTCTCCTGCACTGGATAGGATGGTTTCTCATTTTGCCCTTGCCAGCTTTCATTTGGTGAAAGACATAGATTTTTTTGATATCATTTCAGGCCTTAAGTATCTTAAGAAGCAAAACAGCCTCTCTTGGTTTTCTTTATCTTCGACCACCAAAGGTAGTTCAGGAACTTCCTCAATATGATGACCTTTAGACATTACCAGCTCCAGGAAGGCCAAAGCAGCCAGGGCAGAGCCGATGGTGTATCACTTTTGGGTTGTATTCACTCTGTGGTGCCATCGGTGCCAGGTTTTGGTTGGTGCAAACATGCAGCCTCCACAGCATGTATTTCCAAAAGTGCCCCAGCCAAAATGGTAAGTCTCACTACCTGGAATTCTGGGAATTCAAGCCACAGCTCTGCTCTTACCCTAATACTCAGCGCCTATCTGACAACCTTCTAATTTATTGTTGTTTTTGCACAAGTTGATGTGAACAAAATTCATAATATCGGGTTAAATGGGAGCCTTCAATACAGCTGGAAAAGTGACATTTTTGCCAGATGACTCCCCCTATTTGGAGTACACAGTTATCAGTGGAGGAGCACATGCCAAGCAGGACAGAAGAGAAGGCCACGCTCCTGTCAACCTGGAGACTCCCACAGGAAAAGCTAGTTGTAGTAATTTAATCTCCCACCAGCAATGTATAAGAGATTTGACTAATCCACATTCTCTCCAACATTTTGTATTGTCAGAATTAATTTTGCCAGTTAAAAGCTGAAAACGTTATCATCTTGCATTCTTAATTTGTATTTCCTTGATTTCTTGTGAACTACATTATCTCTTCACATGTATATTCCATTTGCATTTTCTTTTCTGTGAAATGCCTATTTGTGTCTTTTGTCATTTCAGCTATTGTTGTGTCTTTTTCATACTGCTTTGTAGGAATACTTTACACAGTATATTCTTATTTCTAATTCTTTCTCAGTTAAATGTGTCGCAATATTATCTCCCAGTTTGCAGTTTGTATTTTCACTTCTTAAGATATCCTTAATGAACAGATTTCTTCTTCTGCCCCTCCCCCTCCCCCTCCTTCTGTCCCTCCTCCTTTTCTAGGATGCAGAGAACTTTATTTAGGTAAACAATAAAGTTAAGAGACTTCTGTGATCTGGTTTGGGGGTCTAACCAAATGAGAAACATGATCACTAAATGGCTAACTTACAGATGAACTTTTGGAGAATATCCCCAGTGCACAATAGGATCAGTCTATTTTCTTTATTATTTTTTGTTTTGAATGTTTGACTTGACCCAAATTATAGGTCATTGCCAAATTACTTTGGAAGTGTCCTTTGTCTTGACTGTGTTATTATATTTGGATAGTGCTCAAAATTATTAAAATTAATTTAGATGTTTTGAATTTTGTGAAGAAATTTTTCCTGGTCATAATACAAACTTGATTTGTGATTTATCAGGAACCTTATAATTTTTTCCACCCCTTTTTTTTATTTAGGTGGAAAAAAACACATATTGTAAACTTTATCATCTGAACCATTAAGTGTAGAGTTCACTGTACCCCACACATGCGTAGTCTCCCCCATCATCAGCATTCTCCACCAGAGTAGTACATTTGTCACATCTGATGAGCCTACATTGACACATCATCATCACTTGGAGTCCATAGTTTATTTATTAGGGCTCACTCTTGGTGGCCGACATTCTGCAGGTTTGAACAAATGCATGATGACATGTGTCCACCGTTAGAGTGTCATACAGAGTATTTTCACCACCCTAAATCCTTTATGCTGCACCTATTCGTCCCTCCCTGCCCCCTAATCTGTGACAAC